GAAAAAGCATTACCTTCACAGAGCAATATCCCATGTGCCTCACCATTGGTCTTCCTTTCAGCATGGGACAGAAGACAGTGATGGGGGAAGAGTCTGACAACTCACCTTTCAGAAATGAAATGTCTAAAACCTCCGAACAAATGTACAGGAATTGAAATCTTTATAAAAGGAACTGTTTAACTGGGTTAAAGCAAGGCTACAGAAAGGACCTTAGAAATTGTCTTTGAGAATTAGTCGCATGAGGCGCTGCTACACTGCAAAGACAGAGTGGAGATAAAACTGTTGTAATCATTATTTTCATGGGTAAAACAATTTAGGTTTATTACAGGCTGTGAGTGGCCTTCATGTTGTACCTCATCACTTCTATGTTCTTAACTGTTAATTGGAGAGAACTGTTTGAGTACTAACTGCTCTTATTCTTCTGGGCTGGCTTCATTCAATAGAACAGAAATCACAACAACAGAGTGCAGAAGACAAGCTCAAATTTTCTCAAATAATTGTTTTCTCCTGTTAGTAGCTGAGGAAGTCCAAAGAGTAAAGGATGCACTCTGTTTTCATTGGTCTCTAACTGATGGATATCTTTTAGTCAGTATGTCTGTATTCACTGTTCAAGGAGACTGACTTTTCCTATACCTATAGGAAATAAGAGGACAAGACATCTAAGAGTGGGCTGTGGATTTCTCACTGCCTAAATTACCTATGGATCTGGTCTCCTAGGAAATGAATGTATTTTACAAAGGCTGTTGCATAGTCATCATATAGAAACATTTTAAATTACCCATGAAATTGGTTAGATTTGAGATGGCAGCATGAAGGTGAAAAGATCTTATTAAAAAACCTACAAACTAGGAAATTAAATTTAGTTGGAGAAATATGGTTATGCAAGACTATGTAACATTATGCAAGACTCAGTAACTATTATGGGAATTAAATTTCATAGTGTCACAGAAGCACAGAATGGTTGAGGTTGGAAGGATACGCTCTGCCTCATCATCCAGATCATTAATGAAGATGTTGAACAACGCTGGACTCAGTATTAACACCTGGGGTACATCACTAGTTGCTGGCCTCCAGCTAGACTGTGCCAGTGATCACCATGGGCCTATCTGTTCAGACAGTTTTCAGTTCACTTCACTGTCTTCTCATTCAGCTTATACTTCATAACCTTCTCTACAGAGATCTTGAGGGAGACAGTGCTGAAAGTCCTACTCAAGTCTAGGTAGACAATAACCACTGCTCTCCCCTTGTCCACTGGGCCAGTCATTTCATCATAGAAGTTTATAAAATTTAGGCTATGTCTAATGAAAATAGACTAGTCAAAAAGTGCTCACAGTTAAGTATAGTCTTTTTCTGAATTATGTCTTTAAATGCAGTAGTGTGGGAGTAGTATTGTAAATAAGATAATCAGAAAAAACTGCAAAAGTAAAAGACTTTTGTAGAACACTAAATATCTTATGTTTGACTATCTGGTGTTTTCTTGTTGAATGGGTATTAATGCATTGTAGGGAACAGAGAGTGCACAGGAGGCACAATCTGGATGAGTAAACGATTTAAGGAAAGCTGTAAACTGCAATATTTACAGAGTTTGAGAGCTCAATTTTTCTGTTTGAACACTGCACTAATGTATTTTTTTTAACCTAGAAGTTTAAAATACTCCATTTTAGGGCAAAACTTTCTTTGTGAGGCTTCTAGAAGAGTTTTTCTTGGACAGTTTTTCTTCCTCTTCCCCTGTCCTGCTGCATCTGGTGCTTGAGGGGCAGACTGTGAGACTCAGCTGCTGGTGGGTCCACCATGCAGGAGGCCATGGCAGGTGGCAGTCCGCAGGCTGCAGCACCACGTTACAACCACCAAAACACAAGCTACAGGCACTAAGGCAGAGTGGACAGATGGCAGTCCGTGACTCTGAAACTTTCTGTTAGTTTTGTACAGAGCATGATGGGAAGGTGACGTTGCAAATTGCGCTCATTGGTGGCAAAATGAACAGACATAGGTTTCCTGGTGAAACAGAGCCTTTCATCGCACTGCAGTAATTGTTTTGCTCAAGTTCTCAGGGAAGTTAAAACATATTAAATAACCCACTGGGGACTCATTTCTTTTGAAAAAGGTAGACGTATAGGAATATGTTTGATAAGGTCACTAATTAAATGTGTTGATAAGGAATTTAACAATATCCTTTGCACTTCATTTACATGAGGGCACTTTGAGATTGCAGTCAAATACATTCTTCACTAGACCTAATTCATAGTGTGATTGGACAAGAGCATTTCTCTTGTGCTCTCTTAATTTATCAAAGTCTTGGGTTCAAATAGAGCCCCTGTGGTGTCACTAACACATCTCATTTGCACAGCCCCTTCACAGTGAGAAAGAGCTTTGCACTGCCTGTGATTATAGCTAATGAGAGAAAGTAACCTGGGACTTCACTGAAGTTGCTCTGTTAGAGAAGCCACGCTATAAACAGAAGACAAGGAGGTTCTTTGAGAAAGTGTCACCTTTAGGCAACAGTTCACCAGAGGATAAAGTTACTTCTAAAACTTTCTGAAATAGGTTGTGCACAAAGCTGACTTATCTTGTAAGTTATTAAAAACAAGAACTGCCTTCTAGGTATGGATGAAAGTCAACAGCAGTCTGTGTGTGGAAGCCCTTTGCTACTTCTGCAGAAAATAAGTAATGGTGACATCTTGGCTAGACTAACTTGCAGGACAATTGTTGGTCTATACACTGAAAATGTCTTCTACTGTTTCCATTCACATGAAATAGGTTGTGGTTATCTTGTGCAGCCATAATGTTGGGGTGCCCTCTCTACAGGTTTTGACTGGGATAGGGTTAATATTGTTCGTAGTAGCTTTTATGGTGCTATGTTTTGGATTTGTGATGAAAACAGTGTTGATAACACCCTCCCCACCCTGCTGTTTTAGCTCTTGCTGAGCACTGCTTACACAACCTCAAGGCCTTCTCTGTGAGTGGGATGGGGTGCACAAGAGGTTGGGAGAGGATACAGCTGGGACAGCTGACCCCAGCTGACCGAAGGGATACCCCACACCAAATGATGTTGTGCTCAGCAATAAAACCTTGAGGGAGGAAGGAGGAAAGGGGACGTTTGTTGTTACGGTGTTTGTCTTCCCAAATAACCATTATTCATGGGGGAGCCCTGCTTTTGTGGAAATGGCTCAAGATCTGCATGCAGATGGGAAGTAGTGATTAATTCCTTAATTTACTTGCACACTGCTTAGCATGATCACACAGCTCATTTCTGAAGGCAACACTGAGCATGAGGAAATTAACTACATCAGGCCAGTCTCGTTGGGGATGAAGGAAGAAAATTACCCATTAATTTATGAGAAAGATTTTTTAATCTTAACTTACTTTATTTCTGTGAGATAACGTATTGAAGTAGTCATATTGTCACTAAGAAGGATTATCTTCTGCAGCACAAGAGCTGATGTAGTGCATATTTCATTGTTTCATTTTATGTCATTTTGGAGAGTGCAAACTTAAAAATGGCAATGAAATGAGAGAAGAGACAATCTCAGATTCTGATATCGGGCTATGCTGAAATGTAGCATTAATCATATTTTATGCTCTATAGCATCGAGTGTGTCAGTGCTCTACAAAGCACAGAAAAGTAAGACAAGATAAGCATACAGTGTGTACTTGTACAGGCAACATGAATGGATGGCATTATTTACTGCTGAGCATAGCTGTTACTTCAGTACAGTCATCATTTCCTCTCCATAGTCTCACCTCAGGTACTAATACTTTCCTGTCTGTTTGCAGGACTAGTCTTTCATATTCCAGCCCAAAGTCACAGGATCAGACCAAAGGTGGGATTTCCCTCTGTTTGCTGATAAGTTAACTGTAGAAAAACCAGGTCGTAGATTTATAAAATGAGTCTGTGAATCTTCTTCAGCCATGTGCTAATTTTCAATTACTTTCCTGTCCTTCATGCCCCCATCTGGGTGTCCCGAGAACCTGTCCACAGATGTAACCTTGACAGCCTGCTCACCCAGACGCCACCACCCCAAGCCATTTCTACAGCCCTTCTTCTGTCACTCCTGGTGCTTCCACATCCACCCTGACCCATTCACCCTCCATTCAGGCCAACCATAGCAGTTCTTCACAATTCTCTGTACACTTTCTTCACCAGCTGTCACAGCATTGCCACTAGACAAAATAACAATATGTTCAAGCTAAAAAAAAAAGTTCTGTAAGCTGCAGAATATTTTACACTGAAACATTCATTAGACAAGCATCATTTTCTGGCATGGTCAGGCTCAGTGTTGCTTTTCACTATTGCTTTTCATTCCATACATCATATTTTTCTTTGTTTTGATCTGGTTAAACACATTTTTGATCTCATTAAGCAGCAAAGCCTTTAAGTGACTAACTCATAAGTGACAAGCACTAGCTGAAATGGAAACAGAAGGAGCAGCACAACTTTTCTCTGTCCCATCTTCCCTCCATGGAATGTTCTGGTATGGCTGATTGTGGGCCTGTTTTAACTTCTGCACACTTACCAAAGAGAAGGGAAATAAAAGCTTTAGGTTATTGCTCAAAGATGTCTAGAAATTCAAAAGGAAAGGCTTTTCTGCTTTTTCTGGATAATTCTTTCTAAACACAAATGTTGTAATATAAACATCCTTTGTTTAATAAATTAATCGATTGTATCAGAATAATTTCTTAACGATTAAGAACACGGATATAAATTGCTGTAAAGTTTGTTTTTTTTTTTTAAAACTTAAGTCTTGCTCTCCTGCGTATTGCATATAAAAAGCTATAACCAAAACATCACAAACAATTCCCAATCTGGAATGAAAGAAGACAAAAAGCACAATAGTTGCTTATCTGCTTGAATCAGATTTGATAAAGGAGTAAACAAATAGGTGTCTTCTTCATTTTCAGCTCTTGCATCAGCCTCCAGGCAAAGATTCAAATCCTTCAATCCAAACATTTAACATCTCTAACATGTTAACATCAAACATTTAAACATGTTTTAGAGCATGTTACTCTAAAAACAAATGAGTCCTGGAAGAGTCCTGTTGAAAAACTTTTCCAAACAGAATCATCTTTAATGCTCTGCGAAACCACATGTAAAAAAATGCATAAACAATTGGGTTAAATGTAGAATTTAAATAACCAAACCAAACCAAAGCATCAATGAGAATAGGAGGTATCACATAATTCATAAATGGATTGGTTGCTGTAAAGAAGAAGAAGGGACTCCAGCAGATGAGAAACACTCCCATTATTATGCCTAATGTCTTTGCAGCTTTTCTTTCTCTGCAGAATGAAATGTGGTGCTTCGTTTCAAATTGCATCTTTTTTTGGCTTATTGCATCAATGGATCTTGCTTGCCTCTTGGCTATAGAGTATATCTTCCTATAGATGTACAGCATAACAAATCCAGGGATATAAAAAGACACTATGGAGGCCACAACTCCTGAAGTTTCACTAAAAATGACAAAGCATCCTCCTGCACAATGGACGTGGTTATAAATCTCTTCTGCTCCCCGCACATTTAGGTCTAGAAAGATCATCCCAAAAGCAAAAGTGGCAGGAACCATCCAACTTACGAATATCATGACCAGGATAACAAAAGTATTTATCTTTGATTTGTATCTTAGAGGGTCACACACAGCATAGTAACGGTCAATGGATATGAAGGAGAGATGGAAGATGGAAGCCGTGCTCAGCATAATGTCTGTGCTCGTGTGGATCTTGCAGAAGAGCTCCCCAAAATACCAGCAGTGCTCAACAGAGCGCACCATGCTGCAAGGCATGATGAGGAATCCCAGCAGGAAATCGACTGTAGCCATAGAAAGTATCAGGAAATTGGTAGGAGTATGGAGCTGCTTGAAATGTGATATTGAGATGATAACCGTCAGATTTCCAACCACTGTGGCCAGAATAACACAACCCATGAAGATATACATGGAAACACGGATACTGTTTGACCAGCTGCTCCTTATGCAAGAGCCATTTACGGATTCACAGCACAATTGCATCCTTACTGAGGTCTCAAATCCACTTAGGTGTGCAGCACAGGTACTGTTTTTTGTAATGCTGAGATACATTTACAACTTTTTCTTTCTTTTCTATACAGGGAGAGCTGCAGGGAAGAAAAAAAAAGGGCAGTTGTACACACCTTTGTTTATTTGGATTTGTAGGAAATTCACATTTTGTTATTTATGAAGGATGAAATATTTTGTAATTATACTTTTATCAGAATTACACTTTTATCATTAGACTTCCCTTGAAATGGAAATCTCATTTGTTGAAATAAACTGAAGTGGCCTCACACCAGAACAACAACAGTGGCTCCCAGCGGCCTGCACTGGGCAGTAACTTGTCTAGTGGCAGATGAGAAGTCCTTTTCATTATTATCTGTTTAAACAATCCTAGTCTTCATCAAAAATTGGTTGAAGCCCTATATCTCCCATTTTGCTCTTGAAAATCAGTAATTTTAGATTCTGAAGCTCCCTCAACTGAATTTCTTTATACATAAGCCTAAGATCTACAACTCTAAACCAGAAAGCTACTGCTGAGGAGCCCATGCTCAGCTTCTTCTCCAGCCCTGATAGCAATAACTGAACCCACCGTCCAGATGACAAAACCAAAAATATTCTGTAAGCCCTCAGTTTTTAGGCAGATCAAGCCTTACTGCAAAATTCGTGTAGGCTTTAGATGTAAGAAAAAGATCTAAAAGGAGAAAAAAACTTTTCTGCCCTTTTGCTGCCAAAATATAATGGAAGAGCCTGACTAACCTGAAGCATTAACTGTTTAGAGTTGCTGTATAAGCAAACATCTTTTCTGACAGGATCTAGTTTATTTCACTGCTAGTAGTTCAGAATTGATATGTGTATTTATTATGTTAATATTGGTTTTAGTCGAGATACAAACATGGAGGGAAACATTTTCTGAACATTGGTTTAGTCTGAATCTGAGAATACAAATATTTCTGTCCTCTTGTATATGCAGTAACATGTCCCTTTTGCAAGTCTCTCTTTATGAAAGTGTTTAATGAAAGTACTTAAGGACTTGGCAAGCAACAGTCATTGCTGAAAGACCTGGTTTTCCTTTAATTAACAGAGAAAGTATTATTGTGAAAAATAAAGAATATCAGGATATGCTATTGACTAGCATTATCGTTATGTTATAACATGGTTGTTTGTCAGAAAAATACTGATGTAGGAATTCATTCAGTACTAATTTAACCCATTTGCTTCAGGACTTTGCTGCCTATGCTTATTCTCAGTAGAACATATAGAATAATTATGCTTTTCCCAGATCAAAACAGATGTTATTGCAAGCACATCATGCCATTAGAAGCTTAGTGGAAGCTGGATACCAATGATAAACTATAGCTTGCAAAACCCCAGCAGCTACCACTAACAGCCTGTGTTATACGAAGGGATTTTCAAGTAGTGCCAGGCAGTGGCACCCGAGTGCCAGGGACAAGGTGCATCCAGAGGCACTCTCAGGAAAACAGAATATGTGGAATCCAAGGATATTTGTTTCCTGTTTTGGGTGCCTCTTGCTTCCCCTTTTTTCTGCCTACTGATGTTTAACACCATCTCTGCTCTTTTCAACCTCACTTTAATTCTTATTTTCTTTTTTTTTTTTATCATTCAATTTTGGTACATCTCCTCACGTTCCTTTTCCTGGCTATCATCTCTTCTTTCAGTGCATATACACCCCAGATAGAGAACGCACAACCAGGTGGATGTCTATTAACCCAAATTTTCAATTTCACAGCAGGAAGAATTAAACACAGATTTAACTGTACATCCTGGACATAATTATAAAAGTTTTAAGCATATTCAGGTTATAAATGTATCACATAGATTTCAATCTTCATTTGTTTTATGTGTAAATAGATGAAACAAATACTTTAAAACAGGCTATAAGACAACCAAAAAAAAAAGAATTAAGACTATATCTCTAATATTCTGTTTAAAAGATTAATAACTTTTGTTTTGTGACAGAAAAACTGTTTATCTTAAGGAAATATGATCTCCTTTGGAAACTGGTTTTCTTTTAGAAAAAAAGTCTTTTTTTCAGGGGATTTTGATTTTCATTACACAGAAAGCAGAAACTCCAACCTTCAAACAAAATATTGAACAAACTGAGATCAGGTGTCTGGCTTTGCATGAAATGGGAACAAAATAAACCAAAAATCATGTGTCAGACTGCCCAAATGAGCAGAACACTGAAGAAGTTTTCAAGAAGAAAGCAGAACACTTCTCTTCCATAATTGGTTACAAAGTTTAAAATTCAATAATATGGAAATTTTAAGAAGTGTCCTTTTAAAAACCTGTCCTACCTTTCTCCTCTCATGCTGGGTAGAAGTCTGCTCTTGGCTCTTGTTTGTTTTCTGCTGATTGGGTAGCACCCCTTCCTTTTAAAGACCACCTCAAAAGACAGCTGAGCCTCTTCACCATCATAACAGTTCTGGATAACACAAATTTTGAGAGGACAGGCACTTATTCCACAGCTGGATCAGCCTCCAGAAGCCCAACTGAATAATGCTGGATGCAATGATTAGCGTTCTTGGCCACTCATCTGACAGGCAGCTGTTGGTGTGAACAGTAGGTCAAAATGTTTATTTTGTCACCCACTTAAGAACCAAAACATAGCTGTAACACTCATATTTATTTAACTGGCCTTATTTATAGGTAAATTGAACTCATGTGAAGTACATTTACTTGTTTGACTATACACGGCCACATTGTGAGCATCCCGAGATTAGCTAGGTGCAGAACAAAAACCACCATGTAGTCTGTCTTCTGTAACCTGCTAAAATATAGCAAAATACGTAAGTATAGGTAGGTTACAGCAGCATGTAAGATTTCCTTGAAAAGGTATATTGTGTACAGAATGACGTGATGTGTATTTATCAGCCTGGCTCTGATTACTCTACTGAACAAACAAGTTTAATTTTACAGCCTAATCAGTGAACAGCTATTTGCAGCCACTGAAAAGGTGTTTAAAGTAAATACCTATTATTGGCTATACTGTAGTCATAGATGAGGACCATCAATTTTTTGCTCCACAAAGGATGGTGCAGCCTTTTTAAAACAGTGATACTGCTGAATATAAAAGGCTGTTAATATGGTGACCATCAGCTGAAGCCCAGTTATGATGGATGCCTCGGGGACACATGCAACAAGGTAGATTAAGATAGTACTTCATGCAAACTATGGTCCCAGGTTAACTGCTTCATTGTATTATGTGGCCAAAAATCAAAACAAATGCAAACAACTCAGTTCCTTTATTTTTCTTGAGGCTGCACTCCCAGAGGGACTGTGGTGTTGCAATGCGAGGTTTCTATAGGAACCTTACTCCTTGCTATAGGAAGAGAGTTTGGAAACTAGAAAAAGTGCAGAATCAACTGTCAGGCTAAGTGAGATACCACTTGAGGAACTCAAGAGTAGAGGAGTCAGTTCCAATTGCTCAGAGCAGAGGAAATGTCAGAGATGTTAGGCACCTAAATACTGGTTTCTCAGACAGCATTCAGCTGTTTGAGATTCATAGCTGTGGGCCTTCCCTGGAGCCAGGTACTTCTCCACCTTAGCAATTACCAGCCTGACACATAGATATTATACGAAGGTAAAGTTTAGGGGAACAAGTCCATGTTGCCTTACTCTGTACAAAGCTCATAGTTACAAAGAAGTCTGATGGCCCACTCATTATGGGGACTTAGTCAAAGGACATACATGCATGCACGCACAGTTTTCCTGCCCTGCCTTTCCTCTGAGTGATGCAGTGGCCAAAACTCGAGGGGATGATCTGGAAAGGCAGCTCTGATTGAAGTGTTTGTTTCAGAAGCAGCTACCTGGCAGCAACCAGACAAAAACCCTGGAGGACCCTCTGCAGCTGGGAAGCCTCCGCTTGTTCCAAGCAACTCTGCTCTATTGCAGGCAGGCAGCAGCTAGCTGTGTGAAATCTGGGATTTTTTGCTTTGCTTCCTTCCATGACCAAATTATGCATCCAGGTAGGGAGTGTTTCCCTCTAGTTTCTCACTTGCAATAAAATGCAAGAGCAACTTCCCATTTTACCTCTCACGTGTGACATTTCACAGAAGGGAATATAAATAACACTTTTGCCAGACACCGATCCCATTTGAACAATTGATTCTGTCCTTAGGCAAGACCATAGAAGGGACAGTGGAAATGGGAAGGAGCAGAAGGGGCTCAGGAATGACTATTGTTACCATGAAAAATTAAAAAAAGACAGGACAGCATTGATTTCTATTCTGATTCTTTTAGCTTTCATTTCTATGCATACAGTTTGGTCATTTGGCAGAAAAATATGATCTTACAATATCAAACAAACAGAGGAAAGTTTCTTATTTTCATATGGTTTGTTTTAAAAACTGTTTTCCTGTAAAGGGAACCATAGATTTAAAACTACTGGAGGTTATAAGGTGGCCCCATGGTTTTAAAAGTGTATAGCTCCACTCACCATTTATGCAGTCCTCAGGAAAAAAAGCACAGCATTATAAAAATTATCTTCTTAACTTTCCATTCATATGTTTGAAAATGCATAAATTCCAAATGAGCTATTAGTTAAAAATAAAGATTTTGTTATATGGGTTAAACAAGAAAATGTGACAACTAATCTGAATGCTATTGCTGCAAATGTCATGCAACTCCACTGAAGACAATCTGAAAGTAGCCCAGATTTATACCAGAGGAATTTAAAGAAGAATGGATGAGGTGATTGACCTCTTGATCTTTTCCCATGGCTTATTTTCTTATTTTTCAGTGGGAACCAGCACTTTTTCCTTGCCAAGTAAAAATAGCTCTTTATATAGAGCAATGCAATGTTTGTGCTCTTTCTCAAAGTGTAGTGCTTAGGATCAGGACTATAAATTCAAGCCCTGAGATAAATGCAAATCTCTGAAATGCACAGAAGAATAAGAGAGTTCAAGAAAATAATATTTTTACAGCAAAGCAAAGCAAAACACATCCATCCAATGCCATGAAACTATCTCTGCACAGTG